TCGGAACCACCAAATGATTCATGGGAACAAGGCTGAAGAAGCATGAAGGACTAGGTCAAACGGACAAGTCGCCTGTGGCGGAGCAGTGAAGGAAACACGAAACTCATTGTCTTCAACCAGGGATACCATAGTGGGCAATGCAATAGAGATCCACAAACACACAGATGATTTCATCGGAAAATGAGGAGCTGTGAATCTTGACCTAATAGGAAATCTCATTTTAAGAAATTTAGGAATAGAAAACAGCATGACGTCAGGTAGGGTTGACAAATGTTATTGACAATTCAACTGATCCAGGACTACTTGAGCCGCGCAATTTGTCAAATCCATGTGCAGGTATTACCACACCAAACTATCTGTGTCAACAAAAAGACGCAGCCATAAAATCCAGTCATCGGAGATAAACTCACAGGCTGAAACTACACAAATCCTCGATCAATACTCCCAATGTTGATATTTATAATTTATCGCCACCCACTGTTGAAGATCTACCTATATATAGTTTAACGGGGTTTACCAAAAATTTCTTAAGAACACATTGTTTTCATAGTGTCAACGACTACCTGGCCACACCAACTCACATGTCTGAATCTGAATCACTTCAATTATGGCCTTTAATTACCATATTATTTTTTTTAATTTGAATTACCATGATATTTACATCATGTTTGTATCTCTCATATACATTTGCGACACCACTGGTGATAGTTGTGTTTTTTCTTTATTTTAGCTGTGATCTATTTGAGATTTTTGTTGGTTGTTCATAAGTTTGTATAGCTCAAACATCATTATTTTGACTTGCTTCAAATGTATTTTTTACACAACGTGGTTAATTAAACTATCTATATATCTATCCACAATCGTCGTCGGGAAGTGACTGGACTATTCCTTCGAGAGATGACTGTTTATAGGTCATTCGAGTGCTTTCACCTCTCTCGTCTCTCCGCTTCACCGGTTTAGCGGGAGTTAACAGTTCTCCGCTTGATCACAGGTTTCCATTTGTTACGTATCTCCACTCTAGCTTGGCTGAATGTGTCGTTGGACAATACATACACAGCTTCTTCGAAATTATTTTTGAACCATTGTTCTTTTCTGTGAATGATATCAGCTTGGGACCGCTTGATATTATGTTATTGAGTCCAAACATGCTCTTCTATTTCTGATTTGGTGGTTTCTCCTCGCTTTGTATTTTGCTAGTGCTTGGCAACGTGGACTTTCAATGGCCTCTTAGTTTCACCGATTAGAATTTGCTGCACTCACAGGGTATCTGGTAAATGCAATTCTTGGAATTGCAGTCCGCCTGGTGGCCTGGTTTTCGTGAGGCTGCTACGGAGAGTGTTTCCCGATCTGAAGCAGGTTCTGATGTTGAACTTGGACTCAATTCTTCTTCAGCGGTACTCAACCTTTTTCCCCTTGGGCCACATATTCGCTACTGCTAGACCTTACGGCAATAATAAAACTGAACTGAACAAACTACTTTCGATTTGGTGGTACGCGCCGTAAGATTTTCTTGGTGTATGATGCAGTGAAATGATAAGATATTTATGTCATATTTCCTTTGGAAGAGAGAAATAAATCCAACCTTATTTCCTGTCATAGAAGGGCAGCCAGCCATCCGTGCATATATATACAAATTTTTTAATATCAATGCCATTTTTCTCCAAAAAAGTACAAATATTATCAATATAATCACTTCCTCTGGAATGTCCTTTCATTGGCAAAAATTTGAGAAAATCTTCACGAATCGTATAATCTTCAGTACAGTACCTTACAAACAGAGAACATTGTGATGTTGATGAAACATCAGTGCTAGAATCAAATGATGAACTGAAATATTTACAATTCTTCAAGTCGTCTATGACGTGATCAAAAATATGTTTCGAAATATCTTCAATTCGCCTAACGCAGGTGGAATCTGGGAGCTGTAGTTTCCTGATTTGTGATATTATTTGTGGTTTGTTGCTAAACTTTTCAAATAATACATTTGAAGCATTTATAAAACACTCCTTCAGCAATGTCACTAAATGATTTCATATGTTTTCTTAGTAAATAACAAATTTCGTAGGACGCTCTCGTCACTGTTACATCTTGTGACATTGAAACTGACATAATATTTTGCTGCTGCTGTAACAACTTTTTCAAGACATATAGCTTTTTTTTTCGCAATGCACAGCCGACTGGAAAACTATCATTTTGTATTATAATGTCTCATAATATTATATTTTTTTAATATCACTTTTGAATATGGGATGGATATAACTTTATTATCAAATAAATTCTTACTGACGTATTTAAATTCTATTTATTTGACAACTGTCATCAACATCTTTCTACTAACAAACTTGATTTAACTAAAAATATTATCAGACATCACATAAAATAAATAAAAAATCTATATACAGAGGGAATGATAAAAACATACATTTTGAATCCAACAATCACACTTTCTCGACAAATCAAACAAGTACAAGTACTTGTTAGGTACAACAAAATATTTTTCCTCCCAATTGTCTTGAAATAATCTATTTTCGTCAGAAGTTTTACGTTTTGATTTTGAGGACACGCCAGCCATTGTAATGGTTACGAATTCTCGGTACAAGGGAAAGAAACTCAGTCGACTGACGACACCTCGACACGTGTTTCGATCACCAAGTGATCAGCTTCAAGAGGAAGATCAAACTAGAAACTAAACCCCCATGCCCCTCCCGGGTTGTGTGCCCAGGTCGCAAGCTCCCTCCTTACGGAATCGCTTCCGCAGGTTTGGACCTGGCGACCCTTTCCTTCCACCCCCGTTTCTTAAGGAAACGGTCCTCAATCCAGCTGCTAGGCACTTCAGCAAGATTGATGTCTAACCTCTTTTGGTTGGAAACCAGCCTTTAGGTGCTTTTTCGAATTCTCGACTTTGTCTTTTGGACTTCCCAAAAGGCTCTGCAGTGTATGACTTGTTTTAAAAACCACCTTCATACCTAGTTCCTTGAAAATCTCTCCGAAGTTCTTCGTATATTGGTGGTATGGAACTGAGATGTATTTGTCTTGGTTTTTGTTCTTTCTGAAAGTCGAAATTCCGTTCATTCTTAACCTAAACTTCTTTTTCCTTATTATGTCATCTACAATACCCCTTGAGAAACCGTTAGTGGCTGCTATTTCCTGTATTGTACGTCTTTCTTTTGTGAACCTATCATGTGTTGGAGGGAAAGTCAAAAGACGATGCACTAAAAAATTCAACCCAGCACGTTAGTGCTGTCCACAATGATGTGAAATATCAGGAATATACCTGTACGTGCTTGTTTCTTTTCTAAATATATCGTATTCTAACCCTCCATGTTGGCTCCTCATTACCAAAACGTCAAGAAATGGTAGTTGTCCCTTATTTTCTAACTCATACGTGAATTTTATTGATGGACATCTATTATTTAAAAAGGAAACAAAGTCCTCAATTCGATTTTTTGGTATCGAATATCGCGAAAATATCGACATACCTCAGCCAAATCCTAGGAAAATACTTCGATTTTTCTTTGGTTTCCATTTCGAATCTGCTCAAGAACAGGTCTGCCAGGCAGGGCAGACCTGTTCATGAGCTATTGTTCATAAAAGCAACCTTCTACCTGGACCCGATTTTGTTTCATACACAAATTAGTAAGAGAAACGAATTCATCGATTTCGTTATTATTGAAATTATTTTTCTCTACTAATTCCCTGAGGTATTGCAAGGTCTGTGGAATTGGGACGCTAGGAAATAAGGAACTAACATCAAAGGAAACAAAAATCTCACCTTCTTGAGAACCATGTTTTTTGTATGTTGTATGAACTCTAAAGAGTTTTTTATACTAAAACCTGGTTCCGCAATAGACAAGGTTTCAAATTCCTCAGTGAGCCTCTTTGCTATTTGATAGGTAGGAGCTCCAATAGCTGACACGAAATAACGATTTGGTGTTGGGAAAAAACTCCAGTGATAGTCATTACTACACCAAAGGTTCCAAACAGTGCATTATAAGAAAACAAACGAACGCAATAATTTACAAGTACCACGTGGCTTTGGGAAACTAACCTCGAAATGAACAGTTTTATTCTGCACAAGAATGAGATTTTACTCGCTCGAAGACTTGAACTGAAGAGAAAGAAGAATCATGATTTTTCTTCCACGTGTTGATGAAACCGAAAATCCGGCATTCAGTCTTGCCAACACCGTTTGCGAGTATTCGAACACTAGGCTTTCCAGAGTTCGACCACAGTATTCGATCTGGGTCAAAAACCCAGACACATTTTTGTGTCGTTATCAGAAAAGACTATTGTCGAATAATCTAAAAATATTTTATTAGCCTTCAGGCTGCAGAAAAAGCTAGACCGGCTAGAGGGCCGCATAGAAAAGGCTGGCAGGCCGCATGCGGCCCGCGGGCCACAGGCCACAGAATAGTCCAGTCATCACTCGAAGGATGATGACTGGACTATCCTTGGTGGTCATTTTCATATTTTCTCTTGATGATTTTATGTTATTGTATTTTCATTTCACGTTATATTGGTTTCAACTATTCATTCTGATTCTATTCATTCTTCCATAGATTTCGAATCATATCAGGCAATAGAAGTCCGAACTAGTCAATGACATTTGAAATAAGCTGTCATTTTACTACTAGTATGATTCTCATTTGATATTTTTGATTTCTGGGTTATTCAAGTTCTACTGGTAGCTGAAGTTGAGGTTTTTCACAATTTTTCATAGTCTCAGTATCAAATGACTCCCTCACTGTCAAAGTATATGAAAGAAACACTCAAGAAAATGTAGAACTCACTCGGAACCTTCACAATCAGGTGTTTGAATGCTTATATTTTTATTCGAAATGAACTTGAAAATTATCGTACTACTTGTAAATTGCAATGTTCATTAAATATACATAAAGTGAAAGATGGTTCATTAAATAAATTGGAATAGCAAAACATAAATGTTTTCGTAAGTTGTCCGTGAAATATGTAAACTAAAATTAGTTCTGTTCTATTTTCAGCACTGTCAGTGAGATTTCTAACAAGAAGATATATAGGAGAATATGACCATCAGTCAGGTAAGTCGAAAACTTTCTCACCGGTAACATTTTTTAGTTTTTTTGAGATGTTCATCCGCAATTAATTTATTATTTTGTAAATAATATCCTGCAATGAGAGAAAATTATATTTTTCTATTCAAATAACACTTCATTGGGAAATATCCACAAGATGTCTAGTGAAAATCTCACTTATAACTTGGATGAATTACGGATTTTCATCAAGTATCGGCCAATTTCATAACAGATATTTTAATATAACTAATTCCAAAGGCTATTTTCGAGAAACATGGCATAATTACTACTATGTGTGATGTATGTATAATACAGCACTCACAAGAATTAAAGGTAAAATCACCGATTTAGATATACCTTGGAATGTATTCTCTTCATCATGAGTAACTTCGCTTCCCTACGAGAAGAAACACAAAAATATCATCCTGAATGTGATCTTATGGTTTGATGTTTTCAAAAATGACATGGACCACATTCAAAAGATCATATAACATTCGTTTTAATAACATCCGAAGTTGTAACATCCACCATCTGCGAAGTATACACACACATCATACGTAACTATATCTCTACCTCCATGAAACCAGTTCTCAACTGATATCGTTGCCAATACATTTGACCAACTGTTCTCAAATTTCGTATATGAGCTGTCAGACATTGGAACTTATTTTCCTATGAAACGAAAATCTTTGGAAAAAACCTTTGTTTCAAGGAGAAAACACAAGCACTACAGGAAAATCCTTAACGCACTCTGAAAGCGGTGCCTGTGTGAAAGTAGCGATTCACATTGGATTTGAACCGCTGAAGATTGAATGCATTTGAAAAAACGTTCTTCAGGAAATTTCACTAGTTCGGACTTCCATTGTCTAATATATAAAATGATTTGAAATCCTTGAAACAATTAAAGAAAAGAAGAATTAAAAATGGATAGCTGAAAATAACAATTATATAAACTGAAAATAACAATTATATAAAGCAAAAACAACCTGAAATGAAATAATAGTAAAATAAAATACAAGTTAAAATAGAACGATTGAATAAAAAATAAAGAAATAAAAATGAAAATAAAATAAAAAGTTGAAAAATTCCAAGCCACGTTAGTTCACGACATTTCGATTGTTAGTATCAACAATCGTCTTCGTGTGATGACTAGACTGATTCCTCCGAGAGATGACTATTTATGGGTCGTTAGAGTACTTTCACTTTTCCCCGTTTTCCATTTTTCCGCTTCACTGGTTCAGTAGGAGATGACTGTTTGGCGGGAGTTGTCCATTTTTTGCTTGATGATGGGTTTTCATATGTTGTGTATCTTAACGCTAGCTTGGCTGAATATGTTGTTGGACAACAATTATGAAACTTCCTTGAATTTTCTCCTCAACCAATGTTCCTCTCTGTGTATGATCTCAGCTTGAGACCACTCGATGTTGTGTTGATGGGTCCAAACATAGTTTGCTATTCCTGATTGGCTAGTTTCCCCTCGCTATGTGTGTTTCTTATGCTCGGCAATGCGAACATTCAAATAGACCAAGTCTATTTTTCGAACAAGGAAAAATCATTGCTAACACCGCACCACAGTAAGCCCCCTCACTTGTATGGATTACCTAAAATCCAAAAAAAGGACGTTCCGCTTAACAGATCAACAGCTTCAGATATTGGACTACTCAAAACTCGTCTAGATTTTCACTTTCCATAATACAAACATTACAAGGAAAAACATCGTCTTTTGTGAAGAATTTGAAGCATTTTGTCGAACTACCACGGTCAATTGAAGTCACACAGGAAGATCAACTAATTAGCTTCAACGAGGAAAGCCTTTACACCAACGTTCCGGTCGAAGAAGCACTCCAAATCATACAGAGAAAGCTATTCAAAGATGGAAACCTGAAAGAGAGAACGAGAAAGAGAGAACAGCATGAGACCTTATTCCATCACTTTCACAATGAAGAAGGAAATCCACAACGAATTGCAATTATTAGACGTTTTGATGAAGAGGACTAACAATAAGTGGGAAACATCTGATTAGAAATTAGATCTCACTTTGGAAATTTGAGTTACGGCTACAATCCAAACTACTGATTGACAGTTTTCGAGTAAATAGTGAGATTTGATTGATTCCATCCAATTTTACGTGTTTGACATCGTCTCACAGCACAAAAAATCAATAATTTCCAACTTATTTCATTCGAAAAACTACCCACTCGGTTTGGTGAAATGAAAAGAAAAATATTGTATTTTCTTATCATTCATTCGAATGTAATTATTACACTTTTATTCAGTCGTTAAGAAATTAAAATTGAACATTAAAAACGTAACTTCCACACGACAATGACAATCACAAAAAAGTCATAATTTTGATGAGAGGGATATACTTGTTGATGAATTGACAGCAAATTATAAATATTCGGCTTCAGTTTTGTCAATGATATCCGCAAGTTTCCCTGTTTTGTGATATTCAATCTGCAAGTTTTTGCATATAACTGTCGCTGAGCTTCCTAAAATATTATCTGCCTGTATTGATAACTGAAGTCAAGCCAACATTTTAGTTCTTCACTATCGGAACCAGATACATTTTCGTGGACCCGCTTACGAATTGTGAACACCCATTTTTGGGTCACGCCAACGTAGCGCCTTGTCAAGTCTCACGTGGAACGTTGGAGGTTCATCTGGACCAATATGGGAATCACTGGTTTAGAGAATATCTGATTGAGAATCGCAGAATTGTTAAATTCACCCAATACAAAAATTAAATTCGTCGAACTTCAGCGACGTAATTTGCTAATACTGGTGTAAACATTACAAATCTGAAGAGACATGTTGGCTGGACGTCTACCAATGTCGCTGAAGGATATATAGATAATTGACTCACATACATATTCGAAACTACCAAGATCAACACAAAAAATCATCTACTTGAAATGTAGGTATTTCATATTGAAAAAATTAGGTAGATTAAACATTGAATATGTAGAATTAAGTTAGTAAAAACACGCCTGAAGAAGCCATTGCATGGCGAAACACGTGTTGCGTTTTTGTAAAATTGTTTAGTGGAAATCTCTCAATGAACTGTTTTTTTGAATACTTCAGTTATGGATTTTCATGAAGTATCGACCAATTCCATCATATACCAAGATCCTTCATAATTATGCGATGAAAACAACTAATGCTAAACGAAAACTTTACCTTCTAGTTCTGACTTTAACAAGAGGCATTTAAATGTACCAAGCATCTCAAACAAATTGAATCCCTCTAATATTAGAAACAAAATTGATTCAACGCGGCTCAACTGCATGTATGAAATCTTCGTATAATTAATTCAATATCCAGCGTGGTATTATCCAGGGAAGTAGTTGTTTTTCGGGCAGGCATTTACCAGAACTTACGGTGTAGGAAATTGTTAAAGATGAATATTCAAAGATTCACTTTCGAAATATTCATTTTCTAGTATGCATGTATAACTTCTCAACCTGCGGAGAGTGTTTTTTAGACTGTGGAAAGTAAGGATTCCTAGTGAAACCCATGAAGAACCTTGATTTCCTTCACGAAAAATGTCATTCGTCTATATCAAATTTCATATAATCTGAAGGAACAACTTTTTCACGCCAGTCTCAACTCCCTACACTGTAGGTTAATGGACTGACACCTATCAGAAAAAAACTACTCCCCTGACTAATACCACGGAGGGCGTTGGATTATATCCGAAAGGTGTTAGTGCAGGATTCTTCACTGAAGTTATTCCTGCATATGATGTTGGACATACAACTGTTGCAATAGATTTTAAACTATTGTAACACAGTTGCCGACCGGTTTCGGGCTGTTTGGCCACTCGTCAGTGCACGGTAGTGTCTATTATCAACATAAAGTCGATCATTTCCGATAAAAAATCGAATTCCTTCAGGTAAGGGTATCATTCCTCGAACTAGGCTGAAGCGGACAACAAGCAAAAGATTTGCCATCGTCCTATCTGCCTGTGAACGAGGTACCCAGCCGCATATCAGAAATTTGCCCAATTTCCCGTTTAAAGAAAAAAAACTTCACATATTGTCAGCAGGCATATTTGAAGACCGGCTATGAATCAAATCCTCTAAAAGAACAATTTGTTCAGGCCAGTCCCAACTCCCTACACTGTAGGTTAATGATACCTATCAGAAAATAACTACTCCCCTGGCAAATACCACGAAGCGCATTGACTTATATCCGACAGGTGTCAGTGCAGGATTCTTCACTGGAATTATTCCTGCATATGCTGTTCGCGATACAACTGCCGCAATAGATTTTCAATGATTGGAACACACTTTCAGTCGTCAGTGCAAGGTGTATCAATATCGCAAAAGCAGGAATCACTTCCGTTAAGAATCCTGCACTGACACCTGTCGGATATTATCCAACGCTCTTCGTGGTATTAGCCAGGGGAGTAGTTGTTTTTTAATAGGTTTCAGTCCATTAACCTACAGTGTAGGGAGTTGAATCTGGCCCGAACGAATTGTTCCTTCAGATAATTTGATTTATAGACAGTCTTCAAGTATGTCCACTGACTATATATGATATAGCATATTTATTCCCACAAAAATTTCGTCATACCATTCAAATGTTCATGGTAAATCAGGTTTTTCAGTTAATTCAGAATCTTATTCGTGAAAAAAAGATTTATGATTCCCAAAGAAGAATCACTACGAAAATGTTCATAAAGTTTTGGATTTTTCCTTTATTCAGAGGACAAATTATACTTCAATTTTCATCATAAATCACAAAGAAAATTATCATATATTTCCAATATCAAGTGCTATTTATCTCCCTGGCGCGTGTTATAGTAATAACCTTCAACAGTAGTTTTATGAGAAGAATTTAACGGAGGCAATAATTCTTCGAAAACTATACAAGCATGTCACATAAAAAATCCGATCAAAGCATGATGTAGATACACATTTATTCAATATTCGCTTACTTGATTTTGTTGTTCCAGCCCAATTAATTTTAGTTATCTTAAATTTCTGAAAAACAATTTTTGA